CCGCCCCCCCCCCCCCCCGAAAGGGCATCTCGCACCCACCGGGAGTGCGTGCACCCCAGGTTAAGAACCACTGGTTTAATCATTTGTTCCGGTATCTTTTGAGATATCAAAGTTCGGCTGACTGGTCTATAACTCCTCAGGTCCTCTTTGTTCCCCTTTTTAAAGATAAGGTACTATGTTTTCCCTTCTCTAGTTCTCCGGGACTTCACCTGTACTCCATGTATTCTGAAGGATAATTGGTAACGGTCCCAAGCTTACTTCAGCTAGTTCCTTCAGTATCCTAGATTGAATTTTGTGAGGTCCTGCCAACTTGAATACATCTAACTTATCTATGTAAATAGTCTACAACCTTTTCTTTCCCTATTTTGGCTTGTGTTCCTTCTCCCTTGTTGTTAATATTAATTGTGTTAAAAATCTGGTCACAATTTGCCATTTTAGTGAAGACTGAAGCAAAATAGACATTCTGAAACCTCCGCTTTCTTGGTGTTACCCGTTGTTAGCTCTCTTTCCCTCTGAGTGGAGGACCTACACTTTCCTTCATATTTTTTTTTTTTGCTCCTAAAGTATTTATAGAACCTGTTCTTTTTGCCTTTTATGCCCCTTTGCTATGTGTAACTCATTTGTGTCTTAGCTTTTCTGATTTTGTCCCTCCATGTTTGTGCTATTTTGCTGTACTTGTCCTTAGCAGTTTGTCCATGTTTCCACTTTCTGTAAGATTCCTTTTTGATTTTCAAGTCATTAAAGAGTTCCTGATGGAGCCATATTAGCCTCATTATTCTTCATGTCTTTCCTTTGAATTGGGGTAGTTTGCTGTTGCACCTTTAATATTGTCTCCTTGAGAAACTGCCCACTCTCCTGAATTCCTTTTTTCCCCTTAGATTTTCTTCCTATGGAACCTGTTCTCTGAGTTTCTTAAAATCTGCTTTATTGAAGTCCATTGTCATTATTCTGTTGCTCTCACTCTTTCCTTTTCTTAGAATTATGAACTCTTATCATTTTATTATCACTTCCACCCAAATTGTTTTCAGCCTTCAGATTCACAACCAATTCCTCCCTGTTAGTCAGAATCAAGTCTAAAATCGCTGTCCCCAAGTAATTTCCTCTATCTTCTGAAACACAAAGTCGTCCCCAACACATTATAAGAACTTGCTGGACATTTTGTGTTTTGGCATATTATTTTTCCAACACATGTCTGGATAGTTGAAGTCCCCCATTACTACCAGGTCTTGCATTTTGGATATTTCTGTTATGTGTGCTAAAAGTGCCTTATCCATTTTCTCCTCCTGATTTGATGGTCTATCATAGACCCCCCCCCCACCATGACATCACCCCTGTTTTGTCACCTTTTTATCTTCACCCAGAGACTTTCATCTGATCTGCCTCTCACCCACCTTCTGGACCTCAGAACAAGTGTATATATTCTTGATGTATACAACACTTCCTCCCTTGTCAGTCATTTTGATCATCATCTCCCCTTTGCCCCTTTTTGTTTCTAATTTATCTGTTGCAGGGAAGGCTGAAAGGAGTCTCTAGAGTTTCTTTGATGCCTATGACATTTTCATGTGCTATTGAAATGAGAGTGCTGATTTGTAAAAAAATGTATATTTTTCTTGCCTTATGGTCATCTTTCTTTTGGTCTCCTGTCAGGTCTCATTAGCTGCACTTGTTCAGGACTCTGTACAGTTTTTCATGCTCAGTGACTGCTGTGTGCCATGTAATTCAATAAAACTAAACAAGAAGTATCTCTCTCTAACTGCAAGAGACAGCTACAGTAGCCTATGGGTTATAAATCTGCCAAATCAACCATTCTCAGTTGATGCCAGTCATTACTATGTTTGCAACATAATACAAATGTTTTACAATGTTGAAATATTATTTTAAAGGAAAATTATACACATGTAATTTATTTTTAAGCAGTAATTGGTATATTGTACTACAATTACATTGAGCTATTTCAAGTTTAGAGATTCCTTAACTGAACAAGAGTTGTTCTTACAAAGTCTGTGGATAAAAGAACCTATTATAAAAATATAGATCAAATGAAGAAATACCTTTTGACTTAGCTAAATTAGAAATTAAATGAGACTGCATTATCAAACTCATGAGGATTTGTGCTCCTTTCGCTGTGTCTAGATTTTGTTTAGGGGCCACACAAGGCATCTAAGCACGAGCTTTCCCTTGCTCTACTGAACTGAGACCTGAGCATACTTTCAGCCTTTAGGACGGTGGTAAGCAATCAGGGTTTAAGTGTTTTAATTTGCCTACCAATATCCTTAAACATTTTTCTTGTCTTAGGGATATATTTGTCTCTCATGCTTCAACTATATACAGCAGAATCTTGGCAAACAATCTCCTCTGAAACTGATATTTCTCTGACAGCTATTAGGGGTGCTTGAGGCCTTACAAATTTACACCCTACCCTTTGTGAGTGAGAACATCTGGTCCATGACACTCCCTTGCAGCGTGAAAAGTGAGAGATAAGAGCCACACTGGACTTAACTCATATACCTAAGGCCTAATCCTGCACTTTATGTATGTTGACTTCAATGGTGTTACTTAAAGTTAAGCATTAGAGCTGGTCTGGAATTTTTTGATGAATTTTTTTTGTCAGAAAATGCCAATTCATTGAAACTTTGCGGAATTGTATCTAGATGAAAATTTCATTGGGAAGGTTTCTCAGGTCCACAATGGAATTTCTGGTCAGAGAGAGAGAGAGAGATATTGACTCTCCCAGAATAGCCAAAAGCCCAGTGGTTAGGGCACTCACCTGTGGGAAACCCAAGCTTAAGTCTCTGCTCTGGCTGATTCAGAGCGGGAACTTGAATTTGAGTCTTCCATATCCAGGTGTGTGCTCTAAACACTGGGCTAATGGCTATTCTGGGGTAGGTCTTTCTGTGCAACAAATTTTGAAGGGTCTAGTTTTTGTTCCAATATAGAATGAAATCAGACATCAAAACCTTGACACTTTCTGCAAACTGGAATTCTTGTTTTCAAGCCAACCCTATTAAGCATGTGTTGAATTCTTTGCAAGATTAAGGTCTACATGTGTAACGTGCATAATTATATGTAGGGATGAATGACGCTGCATACAAAACTATCACTGCACTCATGCATGTTATTTGTTTGCTCAGGAATGTCCGAAGACAATATTTGGGTTTGATCCTCTACCTACTGAAGCCAGTCGCAAAGCTCCTGTTGGTTTTATTAGTGCAGGATCATGCTCATTAACAAGACTAACTGAAGTCCGAATTAAGGCACTTTTTTATTGCTGTGCCTGCCCACCCTGTACTGGCTTTAGACAAGGCTATTATCAGCTCACTTTTGAGTGCAATTAAAAAAATCACAAGCACATTAACAAATGTGCGGAAAAAGTTGCATGGACGATGCCCAAACAGAGGGAAGATACTCAATATATACAGAACAGTGAGAGGAAAAATAACAAAAAAAAAAAAAAAAAAATACCATGTAGACTAAAGAGCCTCTATATAAAATGTGTAATGGTACAGGTTTCTTATTGGAGTGTAGATGCATCTCCTCCAATTGTAAGAACAGAGACTGGGGGAGGGGGCAAGAGAGAAAAAATGCGCAAATTTAAAGTGATCCTTATACAGTTTTCATGAGAGCAAAAAGATCTTTATATAAAGTAGGTTTGAAATCAAGAGTTTGTCATGCTGCAGTCAAATATATAACTGGCCTAGTGAGCTGAGCACAGTTCTGGGAATCAGCAAGTCCTGAGCTTTGAGCTTGGCTTTGATGCTTTTTCTGTGTCCATAGGCAAATAACTCTCTCTGCCACTGTTTCCCCATTTGTAACATAGGGCTAAATACCTCACTCTGGTGTTAAAATGGTTAATTTAATAACACTTTTAAAGTGCTTTGAACATCTAAAGTGCAGTGAGAGGGCCAGTTAATTTACTAATCTAGCTGGTTTACACAATATGAGCAGAAGAAGTGATTCTTCAAAGCATGTTGGTGGCTTTATCCGTAACAATCATCTCAAGGCATAATTTGCTTTATATTTAGGAACTGAATTTCATTAACTGATAGACATTTAAATGCATGAACATTAACATCCTAATAGTATATGTTGAATAGGGACTATGAGAAGAGGAGTGAGATCATCATACGAGAAAGTGCTGGGAATGCTAAGGAATATATAAAAAGCTGTCAAAGTTTAGTAAGGAATCTCTGTCAAAATTAATTTCTTAAACAAAAATGTTAATTGGCTGCTTTAAAAAGAGCGTTGTCCATCTTGTGGACCAACTTGCTGGCAGATGGATTCTATGTAGACTGAAACCTTTTCTCCTTTAGAATATAGAACAAACACATCAGTAGCTAGCTAAAAAGACCCTTAATTTCATTATTACCAGGTTGCCAGTGGAGATGAGAGTGGGTGAGTGTCCTGTGCAGAAAATGGCCTCCTGTCTGAGATCTAATGTTCGACAGCCTTGAAATCAGCTTTTGGTGGGGGCCAAAGGTTGGTAACACCAAGGTTAGTACCTGAAAGATTATTTAAAGTTTCAATTGCAGCATTGTAAAGCTAATGTGGGACACTTTGGAGCTCTTTTGTATTCCCTGACACTAAAACATGAAGTTGGATGTTTTTGCAGAGCCATGCTTCTGTCTAGGTCAGCTTGTGCATCAGGAGATAATGCTGAGCAATAAAGATGGCTTTTCCAGCCTGGATGGTTATCATATTTGTTCCATTTCATTCATGGCTTCTACTAAATAGGTTTTTGGTCTGTGTTTTAAGTGTAGCTGAAGCCATTAAGCCATTAAATGAATTTGGCAGGGACATTGCATAGACCTACTAATGTAGTTTAAGATCTGGATAGGATAATGTTTATCTATTATGAAAGGAGGAGACATTTCCTGATCTAATGTACAAAACCAAAGTGCAAATGTTCCTCTCCATAGAAATCTTTAGTAAAAGGAGAAAGATTTATACAATTTAAAACTGCCCAGTTTGTGACTGTGATGGGGTGTGCTGGAGGCCTTACAGTCCTATCACACCCTGTCCCAGAAAGGAGCAGTGAAGGTGGGTCCTCCAGGCCTGCCTAGAGTGCCTGCAGGAAAGCAGCCAATCAGAATGGAGGAGTGTCAGCTAAAAGAAGCTGCAGGGTGTGAGCAGCTCAGTTGCTGGCTGGGACCAAAAGGGTGAGGCAGACTTGGAAGGCTGTGAAACTCTCCAAGTGAGGAGGCCTGAAAGAGACCCTACTTAAGCAGGGAACAGACAGAGAATTTTAGCCCTGAGGTAATGGTAAAGTAGAAGCGGCTACGTGGGAAGTGGCCCAGGGAATAAAAGCAGCAACTATTACAGGGAGTACCATGTGGCTGCTATTTAGAGGGACCCTGGGTCAGGACCCAGAATAGTGTGTGGGCACAGATCCGCCCACTGGCAGAGTGGCCAAAGCCCCAAGAAGGGGACAAGTTTCATTTAAAAGCCCAAGTGAAAGGCAGGACTTAGAGTCTCCAGGGAAGATGTCCTGGGGGCACTACTCTATAACAGGGTAGGGACGGACTTAAAGCTAGCCCAGAAGGGGCTGAGAACTGAGCCCAGAGACAGGGCTGGAGACATTACCAAGGGCACAGGGACAGGCCCCGTTGGACCTTTTACCCCAGAAGAAATTTGTTCATGCGTTTGATCGTGTGACTTAGCTGGAGTCACTGAAGACTTGCCTGACAAAGGCAACAGCTGACAGGGGGCACCACGAAAAAAGAGAGAGTGCAGGTTCATGCTCACCCATCAGGAGGCGCTCACAAGAGGTGAGTGTGCACTGTCACAATGACCAAAGCACTAGATTTTTGGGGGTGGTTTTTTGCTTCCCTGGCAGATAATTTTCTTCTGACTAATCTGGCCTGCTGCATGCAAAGCCCGCATCTGCAGCTTTCTAGGTTTGGGTTGATTAAGAAGTCTTCATACAATGACTGGGCCCTTGGATAGTGGATAGTATGTGGCATTTATAGAATAATCTAATGAAACAGGAATTTGTTTTGATCATGAAGATTCAGTTGATATTAAATTATAATCCTTATCTGAAACAGTATTGTGTTTTCTCAGTGTTATTTTCTTGGGGCTCAGCCATGCTGACATTGAGAATGGGGTAAAAACCAAGACTATGCTTTTCATATTTGTTTTCAAGGAAGTGCATGACAAGGTATAATACCAGACTCCAAATCTAGCTAAATTGGACTTAGTGTTGACTGTTTCACTCATAGAAGGGTAAAAAACTTTATAAAAATGCTGTAGCTATTAAACAACCAGGAAATACAAACTCTGTGCTGAACTTAAAATAAATCAAACATTCACAAGTGTACAAATACACAGTTATGGTACCAAAATAATTTTCATCCTGCCCCTGAAGCCAATACCCCCAGCTTCTTTTTCCTGCCTTCTATACCTACTTATTTTTGGATTAACGACTTTTTCCTTGAGGCCTTAAGAAGTCTTCAAGCTACCCCTAAAAAAACCACTTTATGGAAACAGTGACCATAGCAATGCCTTCGATATTTTCCTCAGATGGACTTTATGGCTATGGAGATGTTGAATTTGGAGAAAGCAGTGTTTATAGTATCAAAAACCTGTACTGCTGAATATTGGTTTCATAACTGGTTTCAGATATACACAGTCCCGAAAGCAAATGCAATTCTTCATCACCATATTAGCCTTGGGTCTTTTCATGCAAGTGCTGTAATTTCATAACCTGGGTCCAGGAGGTTTCTATAGTATATCTATTTGTGCTAGCTCTGCATCTAATACTACTAGTTAAAGTCACAGTAATGAAGTGGGGAATGACTGGCTTTTGTATGCTATATTCTAAGCAGAAATGTGTGAAATCAGTCTTGATCAGTGAACTAAGTATAACCATAAAAAAGGAGATGATACAATCATTGAACAAGTAAGATCAAGGCATGCTTCTTGGATTTGCAGAGAGCTGAAACAATGGCTCACAAACTCAACCCTAAAAGATGGAATTTGAAATGATAACATTGTTTTTGTATTTGGTTTATAGATGTTTGACAGGAGCAAGCCAACTGATGAAGCTTCTGCTGCTTCAGCACAAGGTAAGCAACTTAATTATTAAAACAAAAATACTGACATTCAAAACACAAAAAAAGCATCTATTTTAACTAAAAATATATGTCAATTCCCATTGTTGTTTTAGTTGGGTTAGTAGTTTTGTCAATTCCTGTTCTAAATTCATAGAATCCTAGACGTCAAGGATAGACGAAAGACTGTTTAAATTATTAATTCAACTTCCTTGTAGGTGCAGTGAATTGTTTTATAGTGAACTGTTAAACAGCTGCTGTGTTTTACCCCAGAGGTGACTGCATTATTGTGACAGGTGAAGTGATTTCAGCATACAGGGCCTAACCTTGGTCCCGATTAATTCAATAGAAAAATTCCAATGATGTCAACTGTAAAAAGATAAGGCTTATAGTTTATGCAGCTCTTTGGGGGTGACTGATTCTGTATAAATGCAAGTTTTCCTAAATTTAATCAATTCTACTTTTGTCGTCCTATAAAACACATTATTTTTGACACTGACAATTTAGTGCATAGGTAACAATGACCAGTTTTGATTTCTTCTGCCTGGTTTTCTATCTCTGTCTTTTTTTTTTTTTTTTTTTAAATTAGGCATAGAAAGACGAGGTATCGAAGGATCCCTACGACAGGAGAGCAGTAGCAGGTGAGTTAGATGATATAATTAACATCAAACTTTATTGCTTACACTAAATTAACTAGGGAGAATCTAGCTTTTGACATTAAATTTGACCCCATAAAACTGATGATAATGCAATATTTTCAACTGTACGGTTAATGGTCTCTTTATCCTGTGTATAGGTATCACTAAACACGTACATTGCAGTTGTGCCCTTTGATCCCTCATTAATATCAGCAGTGAGATTGAAGGTCAAAAATTTCATTTTTGGCTTCAGAATTCCAGAGAACCTGAAAAAAACCCCAGCAGCCAACTAGCCCAAAGTCGTTTTTCAAGATTAGCAGAAGGTTTAAATATGACTTCAATTCCTGTTACCTTCTCTTTTTATTAAAAAAATAATCATGTAGACTGGCCATGGGTTTTGATGGCATTTACCTGTGGCTACATTAAAAAGATTCTTGATTTTTTTTAAAAGTACTTCCTAATAAGAATTTTATATAGAAATGCTGATATTGCTGGGATGGAGTTGTTTCATTTCTGAAGTTAAAAAAAATCTATCTCTTTTGCTGCTACTTTCGTCTCCCTTGCTCTCCCCACCTCCTCATCCCTAGCTTTTGTCATCCTTTTTCTGCTCTCATTCTCTCTCCTCCTCTCTATTCTCCTTTTCAGTTTAATTCTCAAGTACAGCTACATCTCTTCTGTCTCCATTTTCAGCTCAGACCTCCCATCTGTCTCCTCTGTTCAAAACTGTTGCATCATTGCTGACTCTGTGCTCTCTGTTCCCATATCTCTCAGGTCTGTAGATCTGTCTGTCACTTCTTCTGCAGGGCTGCCTGTGCATATCATTACCTCAGCTTCAGTGCTTATCCAGGCCTTCATTTTCTTTTGCTTTGATTATTGTTGTTTCCTTCTCTGTGGCCTCCCCAAATCCCAGCTTCTTTTCTCCAGCACGTGGTCATGGTAAATGTAGGTACTAGTTACATAGGGAAAAATTGGAGAGAGCTCTCGTAGGCCAAATTTAAGCTGCTAGGTAAGAGAGGAAGATCCAGGATCTCTTCGATAGCATGCTCTCAAATCCTTCCACACACAGGGCCAGAAAGACAGGCAGGACTTTAGGGTCTCAATGTGTGGATGAGATGATGGTGTAGGGAGGCAGGTTTTAGGTTTATTAGGAACTGGGGAACCTTTTGGTAAAGGAGAAGCCTGTGCAGGCAGGATAAGCTCCACCTAAACCAAAATGGAACCAGATTGCTGGCGTGTAAAATTTAAAAGGTTGTAGAGGATTTTTTAAACTAAGGACTGGGGAAAAGATGACAGGTGCAGAGGTGCATGCGATTCAGGCAGAGAAATCCCTAAGGGATGAGTTTATTAAAGGAGAAACTCTGTGTACTAGTAAAGAGGATAGGAAAGAAGCTGGGTAAAGTACAGGTAGAAGCAAGTGAGGAACAGTCAAACATCAGAGTCCCATTTAAATATAACAAATGAAGGCAAGCAACTGAATATTGACAAAATGTACAGGTGCTTATATGCTAGAAGCTGAACACTAGGATGGATGAACTAGTGTGCCTGGCATTAAAAGAATATTGAGCATCACAGAAACTTGATGGAATGAGAATGAACAATGGGACATGGTAATATCAGGGTACAAAATCTTTAGGAATGTCAGAGTAGGTTGTGCTGGTGGAGGAGTGGCACTTTGTGAAGTAAGGCATAAAGTCAAATAAAGCAAAAATCTTGAATGAACTAAATTACCATAAAATCTCTCTAGATGGCAATTCCATGCTTGAACAATAGGAGTAGGACCATACTACCGACCACCTGACCAGGATGATGACAGTGATTGTGAAATGCTGAGGGAGATTAGAGAGGCTACAAAGGCAGAAAACACAATAATGGGGGATTTCGGCTCTCCTCATATTGACTAGGTTTATGTCATCTCAGAAAGGGATACAGAGATAAAATTTCTACGACCATTAATGACTGCTTCTTGGAGCAACTTGTCCTGGAACCCACAAGGGGAAAAGTAATTCTTGATTTAGTCCTAAGTGGCGCACAGGATCTGGTCAAGAGGTAAATCTAGCTGAACCACTCAGTAATAGTGACTGTAATGTAATTAAATTAAACCTCTGTGTAGGAGGGGGAAATGCCCAAAAAACCCACCAGGGTGGCATTTAACCTCAAAAAGGGGAACTACAAAAAAGGGAGTAGCTAGTTTAATGGAAATTAAAAGGAGCAGTCACAAGGATGAAATGCTTGCAAACTGCATGGCAAATATTTAAAACACCATAATAGAACTGAGACTAAATGTTTACCCCAGATAACAGTAAGAGGATCAAAAATGCAATCATGGCTAAACAGCAGAGGAAAAGAGGTGGTTAGAGTCAAAAAGATATCTTTTTGAAAATTGGAAGTCAGATCCTGGTGAGGAAAATAGAAAGGAGTATAAACTCTGACAAGGAAAGTGTAAAATTATACTAAGGCAGGCCGAGAAAGAACTTGAAGTGTGACTAGCTAAAGAGACAAAAAGTAACAGCGAATTTTTGTTTGAGTGCATCAGAAGCTGGAAGCCTGCCAAACCATCAATGGAGTTACTGGACGAGGTGCTAAAGGAGCACTCAAGGAAGATAAAGCCATTGTAGGGAAGCTAAATGATTTCTTTCCACCCCTCTTCACAATACAGGATGTGGGGGAGATCCCCATACCGAAGCCATTCTTTTTAGGTGATATATCCAAGAAACTGTTCCAGGCTAAGGTGTCAATAGAGGGTTTTTTTGGAATAAATTGATAAATTAAGCAGTAATAAGTTACCAGGGCCAGATGATATTCACCTAAGAGTTCTGAATGAACTCAAATATAAAATTGCAAAACTACTAACTGTGATATGTAACCTATTGCTTAAAGCAGCCTCTGCACCAGATGACTGGTGGATATCTAATGTAACAGATTTTTTTTTTAAAGTTTCTGGAGGTTATTTTGGCGATTATGGGCTGGTAAGCTGAACATCAGTACTAGGCAAATTGGTTGAAGCTGTAGTAAAGAACAGAATTATCAGATACATAGATAAATATGATGTGTTGGTGAAGAGTCAACACGGTTTTTGTAAAGGGAAAGCACGCCTTACCAATTTATTAGAATTCTTTGAGTTTGTCAACAAGCATGTGGACAAAGGTGATCCAGTGAACATAGTGTACTTGGACTTTCAAAAAACCTTTGAGAAGGTCCCTCACCAAAAGCTCTTAAGCAAACTAAGCAGTCATGGGATAAGAGGGAGCATCCTCTCATGGATCAGTAACAGGTTAAAAGATAGGAGACAAAGGGTAGAAATAAATGGTCAATCTTCATAATGGAGAGAGGCAAGTAGCGGTGTCCTCCAAGGATCTGTACTAGGACTTGTGCTGTTCATCATATTCATAAATTATCTGGAAAAAGAGGTGAAAAGTGAGGTGGCAAAATTTGCAGATGATACAGAATTACTCAAGATAGTTAAGTCCAGAGCTGACTGCAAAGAGTTACAAAGGGATCACACAAAACTGGTGACTGTGTAACAAAAAGGCAAATAAAATTCAATGTTGATAAGTGAAAGTAATGCACATTGGAAAACATAATCCCAATTATACATATAAAATGATGTTTTCTTAATTACCTGTTACCACTCAAGAAAGAGATCTTGGAGTCATAATGGATAGTTTTCTATAAACATCTGCTCAATTTACAGAAGCAGTGAAAAAAGCTAACAATGTAAGGAGCCATTAGGAAAGTGATAGATAATAAGTCAGAAAATATCATAATGCCACTATATAAATTCATGGTACGCCCACACCTTGAATAGTATGTGCAGTTCGGGTTACTCAGTCTTAAAAAAGATACATTAGAATTGGCCAAGGTGCAGAGAAGAGCAACAAAAATGATTAGAGGGATGGAACAGCTTCCATATTAAGGGAGATTAAAAAGAATGAGATTTTTCATTTTAGAAAAGAGACAGCTAAGTGGAGATATCATACTGGTCTATAAAATCATGAATGGTATGGAGAAACTGAATAGTGAAGTGTTATTTACCCCTTCATATAACACAAGAACCATGGGGTCAACCCAATGAAGTTAACAGGTAGCAGGTTTAAAACAAAAGAAAATACTTCCTCACGCTACTCTGTCAACTTGTAGAACTTGTTGGCAGGGGTTGTTGTGAAGGCCAAAAGTGTAACTGGGTTCAAAAAAGAATTAGATAGGTCCATGGAGGATAGGTCCATCAATGGCTATTAGCCAAGATGCTCTGGGAACGCAACTCCATGCCCCAGGGGTCCCTAAGAACTCCATCTGCCAGAAATTGGGACTAGATTACAGGGAAGGGATCACTCAAAATTGCCATATATTGTTCGTTCTCTCTGGCACTGGCCACTATCAGAAGACTGCATACTAGGCTAGGTGGGCCATTGGTCTGACCTAGTATGGCCGTTCTTATGTTGTTTTCTTACATTCCTTAAACAACTCCATTGGCTTCCCATTCATTGTATAGTTCAGTTCAAAATTGTCTTCCTTTTTAATTAAAATCCTTCAAGGGCTCACTGCAGCCTATCTTATGGGACCAGGTCTTTTTATTCCCCTCTGAACTGGCTGCCTCCACGTCTTGCTGCACATTCTTGCCACTGTCACTGTCAGAACCCCTCCTCTGCAGCTGCTGGCTGCACCAGTGTTCTGATATTGCTTCTCTTCATCAATTCTCCATCTCATTTCAATCTCTTCTGAAAATGTATCTTTCCCTACTTCTATCTCTTGATTTTTTCTCTCTGCTATTATTTAACTCCCTAAACCAGGGCTTCTCAAACTTTTTTATAGTGTGGACCACATATAAGTCGAGATTTTTGTCTGGCAGACACTGTCCTTTCCTCCTCTTTACTCTTTCTCTTCATTCTTCCCTTCTCGCCACATTTTCTCCCCTTCTCTTCCTTGTCCTCTCTCTTGTTTAAGTCTTTAGAAGGTGCTTGATGGCACTTCTGCAGATTAAAAGTAAACTGCAAATATTCACAAATTGCAGTGGCAAGATGGGTATTCAACACAGAATTAATTTTAAACAGTTTTTTCATTTTTTCACACTCCCACACAGCTACATCCTGTGCATTCGTTTGGTTTTTTCTCCTCAATAGTGTTCCTACTCTTCAGGAGAAGTATGGTTTTCACTTCCCACAGCATGGCAGTCATTTTGACATATAAATCTAAATCATATCAACTTCCTTGACATTTATACGATGGAAAATATTCAGGAGTTGGTTTAATCTGCTTCATTAAAAAATATCTTTATTAAAAATATCTTTTGTGACCTGACAGCAGTCAGCACTTACATTTCAAGTTACAGTTCAAGTTACATTTCATAGTTATTTTGGGGTGATGATTTCATCTCTTATTATCTTTATTTCTTTAATTTTGATAATTATGATCTCTGGCCAATACCGTATATAAATAGTGGGGTTATGACTATAAATTTGTTGTACACACCTGTGGGTCCCTCCGAAATCTGCATGGTTATATAGGTTCTTCAAGGCAGAAAGAGTGCTTTCTGATGGTAATTTCTGTAGCCCCTGCAATCTTTTTGCAAAACTTCCCTGCAGTATTCTGAAGGGAGTTTCTTTTTTTTTTAAATTGTATTCATAATACCATGAGTGCTTGCGAGAGTATGGTGAATTCTTGATATACATGACTGGCTTTCTTTTTAGGTTTGCATATGATATTCAGGAAAAACTTCAATACTTCAGCAGCATGAGTGGATTTTAAGCTCAGCACCATGAATCCATCTAAACGATTATGCTTGAATATGAAAAAGAATACATTTTTGATAGTATGTCTTAATGTTTTATTAAACACCTGAAATATAATAGATTTATAAGTCTGATTTTTCTCACTGAAAACTACTAGTAATATCAGTAAACTTTTCTCCTGTCAGTGTAAGCATACGAGGGCCAGAGCAGGTTGGACCTGGGTTATCCAGTGTGCAAAATAGACAAGGCTATTGCAACTGCTGCCACGTGCACTACAGCAATCTTGAACAGGTAAGACATTTGGAGCAGAGTAGGAAATTGGAAATGGGGAGCTTGATTTCATCTGTTTTTCCTCTCTAATTCTCACATCATTATGTCCTATATTAAGAGATGGTTGAAATAACAGGCACTCAGTAGTGTTGCCTGACCAGCTTGTTCAACTGTGTCAATCACTAATACTGAGCATCTTTTTTTAAAGTCAATACTGAATGGAACATAACCATTTTGATAGCTTTTTCTATCATGGATGGTTACATCATAGGAATCTATCATATTATGTGCTTATTAGGCTCCAATTACCTTAGTATCTGAGCACCTCCCAGATTTTTAAAAATAGAAATATCCATTTCTCTTTTTTTTTTTTCCCCTTCCTTCTTAGGCTGTAGGAGAAGTTGCTTGATTAGTTTGTGGGGGGTTTAAAAATATATGTGTGAGAGAGAGAGAGAAACTGACTGAAGAAAAGCTAAGTGAAAGAAATGAGTTGTGAATTTCCTTCTGAAAGCGGTGAAACCTGTGACCATTCTTTTGTGACCATGGGTTCCATAGTCTTGGTCCAGCTCCTGTGATACAGTCATGTACTGTTGGTAGACAGTCTCATTACGTGGAGTATAGCAGTTGTAGAGTGAAAGGTCGTCTGTCAGGTAACTCATTCCAGACAAGGACAGAGACCTTGAAATAAGCTCTGTGTTTAATGGGGAGCCCAGTGCAAAGAGTGGAGCAGAGGGGTGATTGTTCTCTTCAGCCTGCGTTGCTAAGCTTTGTTTTGCACCTATTAAGCTTTTTCAAGGGCAATGTCTTCATACCTAGGATCACTATGTAATATGAGATAGCAGTATGAGTATGTTCAATATATAAACTGCACTGCACATCCTAAGGACATGAGTATTTGATATTCTTTCCCCTGTTCTTTAACTCTACCATGGTCTGAAAGTGTTTGTTGTCTTGTGGACTAATGATAATCAAATAGCAGGAATCTGTTTTGTCTTCATCTGGTTCTGTATTGGGCTACAGATAATTTAAAGGTGTGTTCCCGTTGGGTTATGGGTTTATATTTCCTAAACATCTGAAGTTCAAGAAGTTATTTTTCCCATCATCATTTGTAGAGACTCTGTACCAAGCACAACAGATGCTGTAAGATGTATGCACGCTTTTGGAAGCTGTTAATTACACTTCAGTTCATCAAGATGCTTAACACATGCCTAACTTTGAGTGCATGAATAGTCCTAATGACTTACCCCCTTGGCTTTAAAGTTAGGCACGTGCTGAAGTACCATCCTGAATGAGGTTCTTAAAGACTTGGAGGAGGAAAAATGTTTTTTCAACATTTTTCATTGCAACATGGAGAATTTTAAACTTAGAAAATGAAAGCCACCTTCCTGGAAAGATCCCTGAGTCAGTCAGGATACCAAGCTAGTGATCTGTTTTCTGTCTTTTCAGCATGTTTTCAGTTCCCAGCACAGACATTTCACCATGTACTGCAGGAATCGCACAGGTACCACCACCCTGATGGAGCGTTTCCTGCAAGATGTTCTGCAACATCATCCCCACAGATACCATGACAACAGGTATAACATACAGTTTGTTTTTATCTATGTGTTGGTATAATGCATATATGGTTCAGCTTAGCTGTAGAAATACAAAACTTCAACTACATTCTTCCCATTTTAAGGTAGAAACTTCCACACTCAAGCAACTTTAAAAGAAAAGACTATTTACAAAGAAGGAATAGGAGTGGCTAGTATTTTATGTATTCCCTTTGCATTTATTTCAGATCTTTCTGTTTTAGCACTTTATTTAATTATTTTAATATAATCATCATGGTAGCATAATGGCCTGTGACATTAAATGAAAACAAGCACCATATTAAACTAACAGACCACACACTTACAAACCTTACCTCGTGTACATCAACTGAATACATACTAGACTGACAGTAAATTTTTGATGCATTTGTTAAAAGAGTTCAGACATATGCTTTTTTGATGATGATTAAGATAACTTGTGGATTATGTAAACTGAATTTTTACATGTCAGTGTTATTATCTGAATGTAGGAACTGTAAGGGTAATGGGATATTTACATAAACAATCCCAACTGGCTTCTTCAGTACTTCTTAATGCTTAGGTTTTGTATAGTACTGTTCTGTGTGTGTGTGTCTGTGTGTTTAAATTGCTAGAACTATATTAACTATAAGGTATTTTGTGTAAGATTATCAGACTAGCCAGCTGAAAGGAAACCAAACATGCTTCACTCCTGATTAAGTCTCCAGTAGGTGCTCAGATACCACAGTGTTGGGCACAGTATAAGAACATCAATAATATTGTACCTTAATACCCACCTTTCTACATTCCAGAGAGCCAGCACCTTAATGCCAACCTCTCTGCTCTTCCTTAAGACAACTTTCTTTTGTAGAGAAAGTTATGTCTCCAAATAATACATTCAGATGAAGTGCTAGAAGAGAGCTGGTAAGGAGTCAGTCTGTCTTGTCAGGAATCGGTCAAGTTGATATTAGAAGAGGATATGACAGAACAATCTTTCAGGCTTGTCCTTGTCAAATTAACTGGGACATGCACACATCAGCATAAATAAAAAGTACTAGTTCTTGTTCTAGTTTGAAAATGCTTTCCATTTTCTCACGAAGAAAATACACGAAGAACTTTAAGGCAACATCCGAATGGACATGTGTTTGATGAGCTGAGGAAAATGCAAGATTAGTACATTTGGGGAACAAAATGTACTTGGTAGAAAGAAGCAGTTCCCATTAAGTTGCAGAAATAAAAGAGTGGGATGGGAGAAATAATGGAAAAATTAGTTGAGTGGCTGTGGAAGAACACAGCCCCAAATATAGATGGTGTGGGTGCAGTGACCCAAAGAAGAAAAAGAAATAAGTGCATTGCTTTAAGTACAATTGTGCTCTTCAAAGAGACTATGTAAAAATGGCAGATTATTAACTTTCAGATCAGAGAGTGAGGTGGATACATTCTTTAAAATGAACCAGATTGTTTGCAAAGTTCCAGTCAGTTACACCCGTGGAAACCCAATAAAGACACTGAACTTGTATAGGCAACATTGAAAGCACAGTGTGAAAATAATATGGTTGCATGGATATTTCTGGGGCATGATTTGGCTTACAGAACTTGTACTACTGATGATGATGTGTGAGAAGGAAGAACCCAACATGACTTTTGGATCCTAGGATGAGTTTCCAAGGATGATAACTATACAAACCATCTTTTTACTTAAGTCCTGAAATTTTGTCATTAATTATAATAATTCTGGGAATTCTCAATGTTCATACAAATATCTAGTCCTCTTTTGAATCTTTCTATGATCTTGGCCTAAGTGTGTTTGTGGCAGTGAATTCCACTGTCATAAATATGTATTGTTTTATCATTTTTAATTTCCCGCCCTTTATTTTCATTTTCTATCCCCTTGTTCTTGAGCTACGTGGCAGGGAGAATAGAAACTTCCAATGTACCTTCTCTAGACCATTTATTATTTTATATACGTTTATTATGTATCTCCTTATTCATCTCCTTTTCAAGGTAAATGATCCCAACTTTTTCATTCTCTCTTCATATGAGGTTTTCATGTCCTCAGTCATCCTCAGAACCCTATTGAATTCTGCAACATCTTTTTTGTGATGGGGTGACCAGTATCAGTGATCCAGATGAGGCTGTATCATATAATGGCATTAATAATATTTTCTGTATTATACTCCATTCCATTTCATATGCATCCTAACAGCTTAGCTTTGTTTGACTGCAGCTGTGTGTTGAGTAGAGGTCTTCATTGAGCTGTCTATGGTGAATCTGCGGTCCCTTTTCTGAGCTGATACAGTTCATTTAGAATCTTATATGGTGTATGAGTAGTTTAATTTTTTCCCTTCCAATTTGCATGACTTTGCATTTATCAAAATTGAACTTCATTTGCCATTGAGGTGCCCATTCACTTAGTTTGTTTAAGTCTCTCTGAAGCTCCTTTCAGTCCTCTATAGACTTGTGAATTGTGAAAGTGTACTCAACATTTGGCCTGCTCCCCACAGCTGCATGTAGCATAGCAGACTTGTTCCCCATCTGGTGCCCCCTGTTGATGGTAGTCTCTTTCCTTGTAATTCAGCCAGGTCATGTTAAAATCCACCCCTTCTGGGATAAGTGTCCCACAAATAATCCAGTGCTTTTACAAAAGGTCTTCAGCTTTGACTCTGAACCCTGTAGGCCTTGTGCTCTCTAGGCTCAGGGTTTTGAGTATCCTTATCCCCTTATATTAGGAGTGCTTCACACCACCTTCCCCTGGTGGCTAGTAAGGAAACCCAAGGCCTCCCATTTCTGGGTTCCAGACCTGGGATCCTGTAGTGAGCAGGCAAGATCTGTCTATTCATATCTATCCCTGGGCTTCTTCCTACCGTAACCTTTTAGTAGGCCTTCTCCCCACAGCCTCACCGTATTCACCCTCCCCTGGAATCCTCCAACAAAATCCCAAACTAAAAACATAAACTTAAACCAACTTCCTCCCTCCTCAGGCTTGGCCTTTCATGCCACCTATTCTTCTGCAGGCTTCCAGCTTCCAATATACTTCAAGACTCTCTTGTTTATTTTTACATCTTCAGCTATTTGCTCTTCAAAATCCTTTTTGTCCCTTTTAATTTCTTTCTTGTATATTACCTACTGTTCCTGTATATTGGCTTCACTAGGGTTAGATTTACAAATTTTGAAGGATCTCTTTTTGGCTTAAATACCCTCTTGAACCTTGTTATTTAGCCATATTGGTTTGCTCTCCTTCCTTCCTTGTAATGTTTTTTTAATGTTTATATGAATAATATACAGACGTTGTATGCACATACACACACTAACTCAGTGCACATTTTATATATAATGTGTACTGTCTGTTCCCCTAGAGGGGAACATGGCACATTTAGATAATGTGTTACACAAATGCTTTGTAGATGTGTATGTGTATAATATAGAGACATGCATGAATGAACACACACTCACACCGCATAACACATTAACTAGATGTGTCATGTTCCCCTTGAGCAGCTGATTCGGATATCTGCTTTACATCCATGAACCATGTTTGCGGATCAGATGCGGATACAAATTTTGTATACGCGCAGGGCTCTAAAGATAAGACCTGTAAGTTGTAATTTTGCAATTTAATGGCCAAGCTCAGCCAGTATACTGACTGAGCCTTAACTATGAAGCCACTACAGTGCTTCCGTAATAATCAACTCCTGGGGTGAAACAAACATCTTTTATGTTTTAGTGTAATCACATCATTCACATGTAACCACCAAGAATCAGTGAGTAGGTCACCTTAATGAGTGAAGACTAAAATAGTATTTCACCCCGGCAACTGATATATATGATTTATAAGAAGATAGTGAAAGTGTTTTATTACTTTATGTTTTAGCCATTATGATTTTCTTACATGTTGCACTGATGGAAGGAGGAATATTTCTGAAGAATGTTCCACACTATTGACAGTGTTTTCTTTCAAAGGGACAATGGAATAATCCCTATACTGTGGGATGCTGTCACAGATCTGTAACATTCTAACCGGCTGATGTTCCAGTGTTGTAGAGCACTAATTTGTGGTTTGAAATTGATTTCCTCGTGTATAAAGGGAATAGCTCAGAATAAAGAAATGATGTTGACATAATGCATATAACACTTTGTTTATATTTACAACCCTTGAATGTTTATCTATCTGAAAAATTGCATTTATTTATTACTTGTGCAGTCCATGTATATACATCTAGTTCCTGTGTGCCTATGTGTATTCTGTTGTGTGTGGACACACACTTATATTCCTGTCCAGCTATTTATAATGTAAAGACATGAGTGAAATTATTTGCTTCCTTTGCACAAGTGCTTGATAACCACAGGCTACTCGAGCTGCAACGCTGCAACATTACACTAAGCTTTCCTGCAGCATAGCGCTACCAATCAAATGCAGTGGAGCTAGCTCAAGAAGGCGCGGGCAGATTGTCTTTTCTGGTTTTGCTGTCCCCAAAATAAAATTTTATAAACCGTTCTCCCCCATTGCTCTGGTAGGTCAGAGTACTGTTAATCACGATGATAAAGATTCTTGGCACCAGGAGTGCTTCTGGGAATAGTGCTGCAGTCTCTTGTAAGCAGAAGATTCTCCAGGTCTTTCCTCCCCCTCATACACTGTATTTACATTCACAGACTGAAAACTAAAAATACATATTTAAAGAATGTTTAGGTTTTCATGAAATTAAAAATTCAAACTTTAATTCATGATGTCCTGGGGAAAGAATGGTGTGAGTTTAGGACGGAATGTGAGGTTGAACTATTATCCACCCTACATTTTATTTAAATTCAGAGTTAAAAAACAAAAAACCCAAACATCAACATTAAGGTTTCCATGACATTCATTTGTTTAATTCACTGTATTCTGAGGAAAAAATAGTGTAAGTTAAGGACATTTTGTGAGTGTGAACTTTGATAGTCTGACTTTGGCTGGTTTGTGTTACAACCTCATACTATCCATCCATTTACTTGCTTTTACTATGCTCATTAGCATTATTTAATTGTAGTACATATGTATTAACTTTGTCAAAGTTGTGTAATTTTAATTTAAAAAAAGCTAATGAAAGTTTAAAATCTGTTACTTCCTTTATAAGCCAGTATATTAAATAAACAAATTTACTATCCTGATAGTACTAGACTTTTTTAAAAGCATAAGTATATCACAGTTTACAGATTGCGTTAGTTTAGTTTTTATTAATGTAGTGTTTGTCATAGGCCACTGCACATAATACAGTAGAGACAAATTTTAAATTGACAACTCAAAAAAACAGATACAAATTTTAGAAATACAAATCAATATATAAGATTAACCCTTCCCTAACATCACCACCACTAAAATGATATACAAAACCAAGAGAAATATATTAGAACACGATTTCCTTTTGGTCAAAAGTAGCCTCACTTTCACATATTTTCATATTTTTATGGCTGACCAGACAAATAAGGCAGCAGTCCATATAACTTGACAACTTTCACTGGATAGCAAGTATTCAAATTTCTGAGCTGATATGGTAAAAGGTATCTGCTCCAGGAATGGAAATATCCATTTATTTCTTGGGGAGCAGTACAGGTTACAAGATCATAAATAGTGTAAAGTATCAGAGGGGTAACTGTATTAGTCTGTATCCACAAAAGCAACAAGGAGTCTGGTGGCATCTTAAAGACTAACAGATTTATTTGTGCATAAGCTTTCGTGGGTAACCCCCCCCCCCACCTCTTCCGATGCATGGAGTGAAAATTACAGATACAAGCATAAATAAATCAGAGGGGTAGCCGTGTTAGTCTGAATCTGTAAAAAAGCAACAGAGGGTCCTGTTTCAGAGTAGCAGCCGTGTTAGTCTGTATCCACAAAAAGAACAGGAGTACTTGTGGCACCTTAGAGACTAACAAATTTATTAGAGCATAAGCTTTCGTGGGTAAGAGGTTCTTACCCACGAAAGCTTATGCTCCCAATACTTCTGTTAGTCTTAAAGGTACCACAAGCATAAATATATATACTGGCACATGAAGAGAAGGGACTTGCCTTACAAGTGGAGAACCAGTGTTGACAAGGCCAATTCAGTCAGGATGGATGTAGTCCACGCCTAATAATTGAGGAGGAGGTGTCAATACCAAGAGAGGGAAAATTGCTTTTGTAGTGAGCCAGCCACTCCCAGTCCCTATTCAAGCCCAAATTAATGGTGTTAAGTTTGCAAATGAATTGTAGCTCTGCAGTTTCTCTTCGAAGTCTGTTTTTGAAGTTTTTTTTATTAAAGGTTGGCTACTTCTAAATCTATTATTGAATGTCCAGGGAGATTGAAGTGTTCTCCTTCTGGCTTTTGTATGTTACCATTCCTGATGTCTGATTTGTGTCCATTTATTTTTTTAAGTAGAGACTGTCCGGTTTGGCCAATGTACATGGCAGAGGGGCATTGCTGGCACATGATGGCATATATCACATTAGTAGATGTGCAGGTGAATGAGCCCCTGATGGTGTGGCTGATGTGGTTGGGTCTTCTGATGGTGTCACTAGAGATGGGGATAGAGTAGGCAATGGGGTTTGTTACAGGGATTAGTTCCTGGGTTAGTGTTTCTGTGGTGTGTAGTTGCTGGTGAGTATTTGCTTCAGATTTGGGAGCTGTCTGTAAGCGAGGACTGGCTTGCCTCCCAAGGCCTGTGAGAGTGTAGTACGCCTTCAACCTGGCCAGACCTGCATGGACAAAGACTCTTATGTCTCTCCATTCCAGCCTACCTCCTTTCCAAATAGGCTCTTTGCATATTACAAATTAATATGTATTACTTAACTAGTCAGCATTACCAGTTCCTTTAGATCTTCTACTGTCCCAGGTAGATATGCATTTCAGTACTGTAAGTTTTTGTTGCTTTTGGACATGCACCTTTGTTAGTAGTAGGCCTTGCTGACCATGTAAGGGCCAAATGCACTCCTTACTTGGGCAAAACTCTTGAGTTTGCTGTTATAAGGAGTGAAGGATTGATCCGTGGATCCATATTTAGCATTTTAAAAGTAGATTTAAAAAAAAATTGATAAAATGATTAATTCATTAGAAGTATACGCACCTATTTGTGAGGTGTATCTATTACTGTACGTGTTAAAATCTTTATAAATGCTTAGATTAAAGAAATTGCATGTTTCTAAACAGGATAATTAGACTTTGTTTTTTAATGAATTAATGGCATGTACTTTTTTAGTTTTAAAATTGAAACACTTTTGAGCTAGCTAAACATTTTGATTGTTACATAAAAATATAATTTTGAAAAAATAGCCAAACCGAATGTTTTACTGTTGAAGGCAATAGTTCTCCCACGCTGAGAATTTGTCTGCCAACTTAAATCAGCAAACGTGTTAATGTCTGTATTGGAGTAAATCCTTAAGGTGGGACTGTACAATGAAAAGTGGCTAGGTAGAAATGCTTGCTCCTTACTCCACAGATTTGCTCCCCCTATGGAACCCTATGATGATATTTGTAGAGTCATATTTCAGAGAACCACTCTTTAAAAGAAGAGAATTTATGTACAAAGATGCTTATAAAGCTCTGTATAGCAGAATGATTAGTAGATCAACTATACATTAAAATAACTTAATTGTTCTTTATAAATCAATGGGATTAAAAGAAGAAAAAGATTTTCTCTTCCCTTTCTCTGCTATCATTTGTAGAATAATGATAATGTGTTTTTAGCCATTCTGAAAAGCTCCCTGCTAGGAGAGGGTGAAAATAATATCTACCTGATCCTTTATGGCAGGGGTGAGCAAACTACGGCTCGCGGGCCACATCCGGCCTGTCAGACCTTTAATCTGGTCCTTGAGCTCCCGCCAGGGAGCGGGGTCGGGGGCTTGCCCCACTCCACGTGGCTCCCAGGAAACAGGCGACATGTCCCCCCTCTGGCTCCTATGCATAGGAGCAGCCAGGGGGCTCCGCACACTGCCCCTGCTCCAAGCCCTGCCCCTCCCATTGGCTACGGTTCCTGGCCAGTGGGAGCTGCTGGGGCGGGGTCTGTGGACAGGGCAGCGTGCAAAGCTGCCTGGCCGTGCCTCCGCATAGGAGCCAGAGCTGGGGCTTCCAGAAGATGTTCGAGGTAAGCACTGCCCGGAGTCTGCACCCCTGAGGCCTCCCCCTCCCCGCACCCCCCTGCCCCCACCCCGATCCCCCCCCGCCCTCCAAACCCCTCAATCCCAGTATGGAGCCTCCTCCTGTACCCCCAAATCCCTCATCCACGGCCCCACCCCAGAGCCTGCACCCCCAGCCGGAGCACTCACCCCACTCCCTGCACCACAACCCACTGCCCCCGCCTGGAGCTCCCTCCCACACCCTGAACTCCTCATTTCTGCCCCACTCTAGAGCCTGCACCCCTATCCGGAACCCACACCCCTACCCCCTATTTTGTGAGCATTTATGGCCCACCATACAATTTCCATACCCAGATGTAGCCCTCAGGCCAAAAACTTTGCCCACCTCTGCTTTATGGAATCAGAAAAATGCCCAGTTTGTCTTCTTTCTTTGGGGTGCTTTATGGAACATTGACTTTGTTTCCTTTCTTTTCTTGAAGCTTTACTTTATAAAGTACTGTAGGTAGTGATTTGAGTTTGTTCTTAGTCCTAATGCACTATACTTTAATAATGGTTATGGAACTCTTAATTCCTTTGTTTGAAAAACTTTATTTGTATTTACAACATTTATACAGTTTGTTTTTTCCAGACCAACATATGATGACATACCATTTCCCATCTCCCCAATGGCTCCCCAGGATGTTTTCCTGCTTCCAGAAGAGGAGGAGAAAGAGGTGGTAAGAAGCATACAGGAGATGCCTGGCACAGACAGTGAATCCATTGTTAAATCATGCTCCCCTCCTCCTTGCAGATCTCAGGAGGGCATAAAGTCAGTTTCTGTGCCACAGACATTTATCCAAAACCTAAAGATGGGACAGGAACACATCTTAGAAATATCCCAGCAAACTTTGGACCTCTGTAGCAGTGAGAAAAAACATACACTAATGGATGGTGCTCAGATTGCAAATAGTAGCCATGATGGCCAGTTTACAGCTGTGAGCCCAATATCTCACCATTTGCGTAGCACCCCTTTATGTCACAGTTCTCCTGTTAGCCCTGTATTTGCAAAAAATATTAGGTGCTCAGCAACCTCAAATTTGATTCCAAGTATTAGATATGATCACATGCAGAAGGATGTATGCCATAAGGATGGATCATTAAACACAAATCCTAATCCTGTTCTGGCATCAGTCGACCCAAAAAACCCTTCATTTTCACATCAGAGTCCTACCTGCAGCCAAGTCAATGCTTCATATATTATCTCAGGTCAATCTTTTTTTAAACTAGATGGTTTACAATCTCAGGATGAAACTTTGGTGTCTGACTTCTGTCTCAGGGATCTTGTGGGTACTAGCAACTCACTAAGTTTTGGGGCATCCCCACAATTAACAAGATACAAAGACATGAAGGTGAGCAGGGTTGATGAAACTTCAGTAGATGAGATAATTGAAGAAGTCATTCTGAAGTACTGCCATGGAGCTCCACCTAATGAGTTGTATTGCAAAGATGAAGAGAGTAATTCCTATTTAAATATTTCATCACTTCTGGATCACAATAGTCTAGAGGGCTCTGAAATGAGTTTTGATTGTGAGGCACCTGTTTGCTCAGGAGCAGGCCTACCCAAGGCAGTTACAAAGGATATAGAATTCCTAAAAGAGGTCCAAGTAAACCTGGAAGATAGGAACTATGGAACCCAACTTAGTTCTGTTCTAAAAGGTGGTTCAGTGGAGCAAACAGAAGCAGCAAAACAGGATATAATAATTCATAATGAGGAATCCATTCTTCCAGCTCTGCCTCATGTGCCTCCTTCCTTTGTGGGAAAGACGTGGTCCCAGATAATGTATGAAGATGATATAAAAATTGAAGCACTTGTGCGTGATTTCAAGGAAGGTCGTTTCCGTTGTCATTTCAACAGTGAACCCTCTGCCAACTGTACAGGGAAGAGGATGAGAAAGAAGAAGAAGAAGAAAGATGAAAGGAAGAGTGACATTGTTACAGGTAACAGAACAGAAACTTCATCAGTTAAAGCATTGGCAGAATTTAATGATGCTATAAGTGATGGTTCTGATTTTGATAATCTTTTGGCCTCTGATACACTATGCAACCCACAAATACTTCAAATGCCTAGAAAGAGGACGTGGCGCCTTGCTTCAAGATGCCAAGTGGTCAAAGTCAGCCATGGAACCCAAACCAGTTTAGTGAACTATCCAATAGTAAAAAGAAAAATCATTAGAAAGGAGCCGGATCCACCGGATCAGAAAGCAAACATTATTTGGTCAGAGAATGAAAGAATTTCAAACATGAAAACCAGACTGTGTGCCCTCAAGCTTCCTGAAGCATATACCAAAATTATGAGCCCTCTGCAGCCCAAGACAGTGGTTTATGTCCTTTCATGTCCAGAGATTAAACAATATAAAGGCAAACCCATAGATGTTCCCAAAATGAGGAGAAATCGCAACTCCACAGACAGCAAGGATTCTGTAAGGTACAGATACAAACAATGTTCTCTTAAGTATTATGACCCACTGACCAATCGAATTCTGAAAACCCCTCCCAAGAGCACAGTTAGAGAAAAAGCCAAAAAGCCCTCCCATGTTCGACAACTGTTTAGGAGTCTAAGCCTTGATGCAAACACAAAGAAACTATCTGATACACAGAGAGAATGTACACCATCTAAATCCTTCAATTGGCCAGGCTTCTATAGTTCTTCTTCAGCGACTTTCCTGTCAGATCCAGTTAAAGGGAATGATATGAATTCAAGTCTGAGGACAGATGGAGCTTCCATTTCCACAGAAAGGTCTGATTTTCCGGTATTTGTTCACTCAGAGAAGTCCTATAAACACGTAGTCATTTCACCTTTCAACTCCCATCAGTCTCAGATAGAAGGAGATGTTAGATTAACCCCAATTAATAGCAGGGTTGCCAAAACACCTTTGAAGTCAATCAGGAGCGAACGGTTGGAGAGGGAGAATTCAAAGACAATGTGGAAGAGGAAAGAAGGCACTAGTAGAGAACCAGGTTTTTCCAAAAAGGCTTCAGGACCCATGTCTGTCAATTGTGGCCTTGTGAGAAGAGGAAGTAGAGTAGCCTCAGGCAAACAAGCATCCAGAACTAAAAAGCAAAAAAAGGAGCATATAAGAAGGAAGCTCTCCTCTTGTGCCCAAAAATCATCTTCTGTCTTCTCCATTCATAGGCACCAGACAAGGAAACCTACTTTGGGAAAGCACCTCAAAAAGGAAAAACTTGATGCTAAAAAGCTAAAGGTTAGGAGGAAACCCAGGAGGTCGTTTTTGAACTCTACAGTCATTTCAGGGATTACTGAAAAGAGGCAGAAAATCACAGCAGGGTCTTTTCCGAAGAAGCCAGAACTAGCCTCTTCCAAAGTTAGGAGCTGGGAGATAAGGGTCTCCCCAGCACGGTGAAACGGCCCTCTGGAAGAACTTCTAGTATACCTGTATTGGGAGGCTATCTTGTTTTACCAGGAGATAGCTAGCCAATAAAACAACAACAAACTTTTACTTACCCAACAACTGGGAATAGGCTGAGGAAAAAGTGAACAGAAGGTGGTTATACAAAATCCAGGTGATGTGCCAGAACTGCAGATACAATGAATCGAAAGTCCAGTAATAAACTACTGTAGCAACAAACTAATTTCATGTTGTTGGAATATGGGCACACTATATATTGCACTGTTTTTCTTCGAGTGATGGTCCCCATTGAATTCCACTGAGAATTTGCATGTGTGCCATGCATCTGGAGCTGGAGAGTTTGAAAGTAGTAGTGTCCATTGGTCTGCGCATCACCCTTGCCTTGCCTCGTGGATTCGTACTAGGTGATAAAGGTCGGGGTGGACGGACTGCATATCCAGTTCCTTCTCACAGCTGCATGGTCCAAGTCAGAGCTAATAGTGTCCTCTCGACTCTGATGCACTTTTAAAAGAAAAATGTTTTAGAAATTGTCTATAGTTAGTTTTTTATTCTGCTGTTATTACTGTTTCTTAGGTAGTTAAGTTTTTAGTAATAGTTTTTGTAGGATTTGGACTTTGGGGGAATCTGTTTTTCTAGTCCCCAGCAGCTACATGCCAGTGCTGGATTATGCCAAAGATGCCAGGATTCAAGATTTGCGCTTCCTGCCCCCGTTTTGTTCTCCATCAGTGATGAGCACCAATGCTGGTTCTACTGCTTGGGAGAAGTCCACATTTCATCAGCAGTATCTGCCAGTCCTTCCCAAGTCATACCTGAGAAGGCCGGGCTTTCCTCCTCAAGAAGCACCTCATGGAGGTCACCATGACGCCGCAGTTGGACCCAGTCCAGTGACCCACCCCTGTACATCTGACTGAGAAACCCAGTAGTGTGCCTCTGGCCTCAGAGCTTGAACCTGGCTCTGGTGGTACCGCTGCTATGGACCCCATGCCAGGGCCTAGTCGGGAGGAAAGGAAGCATGGACATAAGCATGACAGTAAGTCTTCCTCCAAGCCAAAAAAGAATGATGTGCCTTACATGAGTTCCAGCCACAGAGAAGCAGTGTGTTCCAAGGCGCCCATGCATGACACAAAATTTGTGCAGACCAACAGATCTGCTGGTACAGAGAACCCAGCTACACATGCCTTCACTGTCAGCTTCCCTTAAGACAAGGGATCCATCAGTTCCTGGACAGTCCTCTGCTCTGGTGCTGGCTACAGAACAGGTACCGTTGACGCTGGGATGCTTAGAGAAAGCACCGGAGTCCCATGAGCTGTTTGTCCTGGGGGGAACCAAGATGTTCACACCTTCCTCTGCCACCTGCACCTAGAGAAGGCTGATCTCCTATCTGGCACTTGCCACAGTCAGGCCCTACTTGGATGCCTCCTTCTGTGGATTGCACACTTCCGACGGTACTGCCATTGGAACCAGGATCTGAGTTCTCGTCATCCTTGGATTCTGACGGAGCACAAGAGCCGCTCGTTCCTTATTGCCAGTATGAGTACCCAAAAGGACTGCCAGTCGTATGGCAATACCCTCCCTCCCCCAACAACAGAGAAGCCACTGGTTGCCTTCCCCTTGCAACATCCACTCGATCAGTCTTTCTGGCCCTATTGAGGGTCCTGGTCTCAGTACCTACCCTCAGAACCTGTCTATTCCACGAGGGAGGCTTTGCCTCTGTTCCCAATTAGGGCACCCTTGAGCAGATACTCTGAACAAGTTATGGAGGATGAACTGCTCAGTCCTGTTCCAACGGTACCGCCAGAGCAGAAAGGCTTCCCTTCATCCTCTTCAAATGCTGCAGTCACTTCAGCCTCCCCCTTGTCTCCTGGTGACTTTTGCCAGTTCCAAGAACTTCTGCAAAGGATGGCGGATGAGCTGCATAGTCCACTGGAGAAAGTACAAGACAAGCTGCATCAATGCCTGGACATCTTTCATTCCTTGGTACTGAGCAGGGTTGCCCTACCAATCAACAATGCTATTCTTCAGCCAGCTTGAACAGTTTGGAATACCCCGGCAACTTGCACACAGAGAAGAGATACTACGTACCAACCCAGGGGTCGGAGTTTTCTTTCCCCACCCCAATTCTCTCATGGTGCAAGCAGCAATGGAACGCTCCAGACAGCAACATCTGTGCTCCATCCTGACAGATAAGCAGGGCAAACATTTAGAGCTTCTGGGATGCAAGGTCTTCTCTTCAGCAAGCCTCCAATTCCAAATTTCAAACTAACAGGCCTTGTTGGCCAATTATAGACTCATAGACTTTAAGGTCAGAAGGGACCATTATGATCATCTAGTCTGACCCCCTGCATGATGCAGGCCACAAAGCCGTCCCTACCCTTTCCCTTGACTCTGCTGTTGAAGTCCCCAAATCCTGTGGCTTAGAGACTTCAATTGGCAGAGAACCCTCCTGCTAGCGATCCCTGCCCCATGCTGCGGAGGAAGGCGAAAAACCTCCAGGGCCTCAGCCAATCTACCCTGGAGGAAAATTCCTTCCTGACCCCAAATATGGCGATCAGTAAAACCCCGAGCATGTAGGCAAGAGTCTCCAGCCTGACCCTCGTTAGCCATTATACTATTTACCTGCCATGGCACGGTATTCCTTTGACTAAAATCATGTTTTTCCATTAAACCATTCCCTCCATAAACTTATCTAGCTTAATCTTAAAATTAACGATGGCAAAGTGAAGGACTTTACTGAAAAGCTGCCTCAGCAAGATTGAGCATGTTTCCGGTCTATCCTGGGGGAGGGTAAGCTGGTGGCTAGAATGGTGCTTCAGCCAGCTGTGAATGCTGCAGATTCTGCCTCACACTCGATGGCCACAGGCATTGTCATGCGAAGGGAATCATGGCTTCACTCATGCAGTTTTCCCAGAGAATGGCAGAATACCATTGAGGACCTTCCTTTTGATGAGTTTAATCAGAAAACCAAAAATCCCTCCATTCTCTCAAGGCTTCCAGAGCCACACTTAGATTGCTGGGTATCTATACACTTGAACGCAAGAAAAATTCTACTGCCCACCACCTACAGTGATTCACATCTCCCTAGTTCTTCCATCAGAGGCCATATAAACCTCATTGTAAGTTGTAGAAGACCCAACGGATCCCACCCTCCAGGCCCAGCTTCTCAGTCTTCGTCATCTTACATGCAATCTTCTCAGAAGCGATATTTCTGTGTACCACTAAAGAACCGTCAACCACCAGGCCCTCTGCCATGGAGCCAACCCATCCCCTTTGGGAGTCATCTAGCACTCTTCTTACCAGCTTGGAGTGCAATAATAACTGATAAGTGGGTCCTGGATGACATCCACTATGGATTATACAATCGAGTTCACCACACTACCTCATCCAGATCCCCTGCCTTGATTCCCTTTTCAGGGACCACTCTCACGACAGCATCCTTGGCCTAAAAATAGACTTTTCCTGCAAAGGGGAGCAATAGAGCACATTCTTCCAAACTATCAGGGCACAGGGTTATTTCACTTACTTCTTGGTACCCAAGAAAAAGGGCGTCTGGAGACCAATCCTGGACCTACGGCACTTCAGCCGCTTCATCTGCAAGCCCAAGTTTAGTATGGTTACCTTAGCAGCCATCATACCTTCTCTAGAAAAAGGCATGTGGGTTACGGCTCTATTTTCACATAGACATCCATCCAACCCACAGGAGATTCCTGAGGTTCACGTTGGGTCCTCAGCATTTTCAATGCGGGATCCTACCATTTGGACTCACCACTGCTCCCCGGGTCTTCACCAAGGTTTTCTTTGTCATAGCAGCCCACCACAGGCACACTAGGGTCCTTTATTTTTCCTCTTTCTCACACCTTCACACTCAGTGGAATACAGTAAGGACTATCACTTGAAGAAGAACATGTTACTTACCTGTAACTGGAGGTTCTTTGAGGTGTGGGTCCCTGTCTGTATTCCACTTTCTTCTCTGCTTGCCACTCTGCTGTGGATCTATTCAATTTCTGGTGGAGAAGGAACTGGAGACACGATTGGTCCGCTCCACCCTTTATTGCCTTGGACAAATCCATGAGGCAAGAGAAGGGTGTGTGTGCGGACCAAAGGACACTACTGCTTTCAAATTTTCTGGCTCCTGACACGTGGCATGCATGCATAAACCCTCTGCAGAATACAGATAGGGACCACCCAACTCGAGGGTAAGTAACCTCCTTTTCTATTGTGTAAAGTTACAGAAATTGTGTATTTGTTTAAATTAAGCACTTAGGACCCTATTTACTACACTTCAGTGCACTGTCGCCTTTTACAGGAGAAAAACTGTGAGCTTAAATTGTATCATATTGTATTGTGTGATAGTAAATTCAGTGCATTATGTTGCACTAGACTATAATAAAGTATCATGTAGAATCACCATTACTTATTGTGCCTACCTTTCCTCAAAATTGTAAAGTGTAAAAATATGATTAAACAATTGCGCTAAATTAAATGGAGTAATATTAATTTGTAGGGAATATGTATTTTGTGTTTGTATGTGTATATTCACACCCAATTATACATACAATACATTTTCAAGACTGTTTCAAAGGCAGTTTAAATTAATACAGTATGATACAAAGCAGATCAGTGCAATGGTGTCTTCAACAAATATACAATTACAGTATTGTGGCAAGTTGCGTAATTAGTGTTTTTCTAAAACCATGTCCAGCTTTATTGGACAAAACAAGAGCACTGTGGACTTTCACACTAGCAATAATGGATGGTGTTGGTAAGGAAATAATAATCTTTCCAGTGCTATACAAGCAACATGGTTGAGATCCTAATGAAACCTCAAAAACCAAAAGAAAGTTAGAGTTAAATCTGAAAATTTAGCTTAATGGTTTGTTTCATAATTCACCTTTGCATCGTTGAATAGAGCAGAGAAAAAGGTTGTACTAGTGAGTGTGAATGGCAGTGGGTTATCCTAAATTTCAGCCTTAACTGTGAAGTCCTTTTGTTTTTTTTGTGTATTTAAAGCAGACCTGTTTTTACTTAAACTTAGTTTACTGTAGTTGAGAGTTTAGTCAGCTAAGGACTATTTTGTAAATACTTAACTGCAGTTTTTAAATAATCATATTCCATACTGACTTATGGTTGGTTATTGACAGTCTTAACAATTCCACATGCCTATAGGTGGTCCCTACTAAATTCACAGCCATGAAAAACACATCATGGACCATGAAATCTGGTCTCCCCTGTGAAATCTGGCTATTGTAGAGTGGTCACAGTATTACCACCCTTATATTTGCGCTGCCTTCAGAACTGGGCGGCCAGAGTGGCAGCTGCTGGCCAGGCGTCCACCACCAGCCGTGCAGAAGTAGGAGTGGCATAGTATGGGTGGGGTCATCACTTTTGAGGGGAGCAGGGCTCACCTTACAGTGGGCGATGTGGGTTAACTTCCCAGGGTGCCATGGTCAGAAGGGCACTGTGGTCTCACCCTCCCCTTCCCCCCACACACAACTAAGGCCTCTTTAACCCCCAAGCACTGGCCCTGGAGCTGGGGAGGGGCCGGGCTGTGGGAGCCCCAGTTGGGGGCTTCTACCATGCGCTGGGCTCCAGCTGCTAGTTCTGACTTGGGTGGGAAGGGGTGGGACTTCCTCTTCCTCTGCACAGGTCACACCCATCTCTGGGAACCTCCCCAGGCTGTAGGAAGTTCTGTGGCTGCTGGCTGGGAGCCCAGCTCTGAAGGCAGCGCTGCTGCCAGCAGCAACATAGAAAAGAGAGTGGCAATATCACGTCGTGCCACCTTTACTTCTGTGCTGCTGCTGCCTTCAGAGCTGGGCTTCTGGCCAGCAGCTGCCACACTACGACCACCCAGCTCTGAAGGCAACAGTGCAAAAGCCCATAGCCTTTTTTCTTTTTAGAACTATTATAGTGACAGCCTCTTTTGTCAAGGCATATTTAGAAGACACAAACCCCAATCCTGCAAATACTTCTGCACTTTGAACTCCATGAGACCAGGGCCGTCACCAGCTAAGGAAGCAGGTGCTTGGGGCAGCCAAAACAAAGGGGCGGCACTCCATCCGCTATTGGGGTGGCCCGTCTGGGTCTTTGGCAGGAATTCGGTGGCGGGTCCCTCAGTCCCTCTCTTCCTCTTTGAGCTGCCGCCGAAGAGGAAGAGAGGGAGTGAAGGACCCGCCACCGAACTGCTGCCGAAGAATGGAGCGGCATGTTTGAGCTGCCGCCGAAGTGCCGCCGATTGATTTTTTTTTTTTTTTGTTGGTTGGTTGGTTGTTTTTTCTTTCCTGCCACTTGGGGCGGCAGAAAACCTGGAGCCGGCCCTGCATGAGACTGTTCACCTAGGTCAGGTATAGCGTGTGCTTATAATATCTGCAGGATCAGCACCTTAATTTGGAGATGTACAACTTAATAAACAATACAAAATTGTTTGGAATCTTCTGAAATCCATTTGAAAATTAAACAAAAAATAACAGTAATTTGGAATGGAAAAGACCCATCTAGCCTTGTTATACATCTTCTTGCCCATGCACAGGATGATTGTGCGTATGCAAAAAGAAAAAAGAAAAAGTTTAAACAACTGGTTTATTTGCATTTTTCCAAAGTGCCCATGGTCACTAGTTTGAGTTAAGGACTTAATGGACCTCAAAATGTTGGTTTTAAAAAACACCATTGCTGAATTTTATTAATTAAAAAAGCACCATAAACAACTAATATATTTTTTAAATAATACTCTTGGCATCTCTTCTTTGGTGCATGTGCATAATTCCCATGAGAAGTAAGAGGTTGCATGTATTTACATCACCAGAGATCAGATTCTTTTATAACTCTTGGTCCAACTGATTATTTTTTTTAACTTTGGAAATAGCTTTTATTTTCCCAGAGACCTTCTTATACACTTGTCCGTCCAAGACAGAATCCTAGGACCATGTTATAAATAACTGGAAATAAGGGTTTCTTTAAAAACAAACAAAAAAAAAAACCACCACTGGTAGCCCCATTAACTAATTGTGCCTCTTTAATTTGATATTTTGTCTAATAATATAACTGATTTTTTTAAAGCAAAGTTGTAAAGGAAAGGTTTTTATAGCAAAGCTAATTTTTAAATAAACGTTTTAAAACAAAAGGGTTTTCTTTAGAGGTAAACTTACGTTTTAAATCAAAGTTTTAAACTAAGTTAGTACCATAGGTAAATCTCATGCTGACATATTTTTATGGTATAAGAATGTCCTCTCTACCTAACCTGTTCTGACTCATTTTCAGATATGCATAGTTCTGTTTGTAAATACGGTTTTGTGCACATTCTACTTGAGAACAATTATGTGTGTGTGTGATATAAAATTATATAACTTACGGTCAATAAATGGACTGTCCTTCATGTTCATCAATT